TGTGAAAAGATTATTTTTAAAAGTGATTGGAGAGTTTCATTGAGTTTCTCAAATCAGCGTAAGAAATGTGACATGCATGGTGACTTTTAAATTTCCATTTACAATATGTAGGATATTATGAATCATGGAAGTTGCTTGCTGGTTTGCTAAACTTCACTCTTTGAATAATGAGATGCACTTTTACCAGGTTAATATATAAGTTTAAAAATACAATAACTATCTTATCTGAAATTGACAAATCATAAAACCACAATAATCAGGGTGATGCAAAGTAATTAATCAATAGAAAGAAGGGTTTGGGGTAACTTGGGGCCTCAAAAGAGAGTGGTGGTCTATTTCTAAAACAAATCACACAATATTCTGGTTCTATTGCCCAAATCAAATCCCCAATGGTAAAATCCTCCAGGAGGAAAAAGATCAGTGCTGAACAGTAATATTCACTAAGTACATAGAAGCACAGCAAGACTTTAGCACCCCATGTTTGCTGCATGATTCAGCCATCCTTGTGGTCCAGAAGGCATCCTCAAGGAATAGTATAGGATCATTCAACAACCACAAGTTAAAAGTACTAAAACCTGGTGAACAGTGTGTACAATAAAGTGGCCTAAAAAGATTCTAAGTCAAACATACGTGGCAGTTCTTCTAGAAGTTCTAAAGGGGTCAAAGTCAAGACATTTTATACAATGAATTCCTCTCTGTGATGCATTTTAACTTTGATGTGTATTATTTGCAAAATAAATATGTTTTACCAATGCTAAACATTTGTATTACATACATGTGAACATTTAAAACCTCACCTCCAGAAGTAAAAAAGAAGTAAATATAGACATCTTATTTATCCTAATGCTGATACAAACACCGTGGATATTTTAGTGATTATCAAGGGACCCTAAACTATCATTTTTACTTTTTTGTCCCTTAAATAGTAAAAAGAATAAATATAAGCCAGACATGTAGTGCACACTTTTAAGGCCAGCACTCAGGTGGCAGAGGCAGGTCGATCTCAGGCTTGGAAATCCAGGCTTGCCTTATCTACATAGTGAGTTCCCCAGGCAAGTAAAGGCTACATCGTTAGACTATTTCTTAAAAGGAAAAAGAAGAAGAAAAAATATAATTTTCACTGTTCAAATGCAATTTTGAGAATCAGAAAAATTATATTAATAATGTATAGTCTACAGACAACCCTTTGTTCTGTAAACAAAATTTCAAATCTCAAAAGCAAGCAAAATACACTGAGGAAGTCTGCACATGGCATAAATAACCTATGCATCATTTATTTATGTTCTTGGTGTTTTATTTTAAATGTATCTACCTGAACTTCATTCAGAATCGAGCACAGCATATGTCTTTAAGAGTGATGTTGTTTGAAGTCTGTTGTACCTGCCCTGTTTCGAACTTGACCAATGTAACTAATTTATCACACTTAACTTAAGGTAAATGCTTTGCTGCTAAAAATTTGTTCTGGTCACTTTCATTAAAATTTTTTTCTCCATGCTTTGCTTATGCTGTATCTGCTGTTAAGTAATACAATATGGGAAGGTCTTTGCAAAAGTTTTTATATCCAGACACAGAGAGTCGGGTATATTGATGAAAATCCAATGACGTATTACTACATCATGAGATTTCTATTTTGACCTGTTTAACAGGTTTCTTATACATACCAGGAGAGTCATTCAAAACATTTTACATATTAAATTACTTATCAAAACACTGTGTATATAGACCTTGACATTGGTTAAGGAACCGAGGATTAAATCTTTAAAAAAAATTTAGGACCAGAACAAATCTTGAGCAAAACATAGATCATGTGGCAAAGAAGTAGCTTCTTAGAAAATATAGCACACTCATGAGGACACACTTTCAGCACAAATGTGAGAGGCCAATTGACCGGTCTCTATAATCACCTGCAAATATGCAGCAGTTTATTATTAAAAGTAAAATCTATAGCAATAATACTGCAGAAAAATACTACTAAAATCCCTCTGGTCATATTTATTTCTGTTCCTGGAGCTCTCTTCAGTAAGGTATGCCTAACTCCAATATCAATTTTTTGAAGCAAGACCCTTTTGCTATTTTATTTCCATGTGGGTAAGTAATTTTAGAATGATTATACATTGACTGTATTAAATTGCTTTTTATTTCTGTGTTTCATTCTTGGAGTAATCATGGGATGAAGTAATGACTTTGTTATGAGTGCCAATACGTTGTTCCTTCACAGATGCATTTTTACTCCTCTATTTGTTTTCAATGCATCTAGTGATTTGAGAGTTTATGTGATAACAAAGACATGCACTAATGCAATGAGAAAATAAGCCATATGGATTACTGCTTAAATTGTACATTTACACATAGCAAGATAATAAACTCGGGCACTTAATCACGTCTAAACTATTGCCTTAGAAAAAACTCTGGGCTCACTGCAGTATTGCTTATTTTAATGACTAATTCCCTAGCTGTCAATTCACTAACAGCATACTTTACAACTGCTGTGAAGTCGTCCTATAATTTTTTTTTAAATTGTAGTTATTATTTCCTGAATGAACTGCACAAAGCAAGAGAAAATTTATAAGCAGGCTTTATAAATACAGGAGCAGAGTGAGAATAAGTACAAGAAGATTTGAAGACTCATCACCAACTCCAAAATAACCGTGACAACACAGCAGTATTAGGAAAACTAATAGGCCAGATGGTAAATATTTAGTAGGAGAATCGTCCAGATTGCAGAAACACTGTTGTAATTAGAGCTGTTTTAATTAATTTTAATCTCATTTTAAAATAATTCTTATGGAAGGATTTAAACTTGTCTATAAATATTCCAATAATATGGCATAAAATGTGTCCCTGATTAGATGCTTCTTGGCATTTTGGTTAAACACGTTTATTAAGAACAAAGTATTTGACTGATACATGCTAGAATAGGTAGCTTCATGAAGAATACTATTAACCAGTAATGAGCTATGTTACTGACTTCAGTTTTAAAGTTTATATTACTACTTTGAATAACGCTTGCAACAACTTGATTTAGCTCTTTGCTTGAGCAGCACATTTGACTATACATTAGTGAAAACCTACTCACTTTTTATCAGTCTCATATTTTAGTACAAATATATTATTTCTCAGATGCCTTCACTCCCACACCCAGCATTAGTTATATATATGCTCAATATACATATACTCATTTTATGTATGTACATATACATTCTCATTCTCATAAAAGCATGTGTAGTTTATTCATAGTTTTAACTGCTGGAATGGAATGAGGGTTTGCTCTTACTGTTTTTATAAAGTCTGAGGTAGACATTCTGTTCAGATACTTAGGAAAAAATGTAATGAGAGCTTTCCAATATATAAGTGTTAGAAGGAGCCTGTGCTGTCAGCATGCTCACTGGCACCCTTGAGGCTACTGGTTTATCATCTGGGAAATCACCTCGTGTCCAGATCATTCCCTGTTGCTTGAATGTGTTCTCCTCTTCTGCAGGCTCCCCAACAGGGATAGATTGAGGCAGGATAAATCCGGCCACATGTGGAAGCCAGCTTCAGTTATCATTTCTCTCCCTTATTAGTTACACTGCAGAGATTGCATTCAGGGGTGCCAGCTGAGAAGTTCAACTCCTGAACTGTATTCTGTCCCCAGCATTTCTTCGTCCCTTAGGTGGTAATCTCTTTATGTTTCAAAAACCCTTTCCTGAAGCAATAGGTTTTAGTCCCCACATACACACACTTTTCAGAAATACTCTTCTTGTAGACTATCAGTAAAATATACTCCTTTTTAGACATTCAGTAATTTCTTGGAATTTGTTTAGCCACAGTATTAACACTAGAAACTAAAGTGTAATATTCTATGAGAATATTCTAAAATACAAAATAAGTTTTTCAAGTTCATACTGTCATAACAAATTTAAATCACAAAGCACTGTCCACAAATGGTCTACCCTACTAACTCTCCAAAAATGTTTTAAGATATATTGAAATTTTTATTAGACTATAATATAAGCCTAAATACAAAAGGAGTTGGGAGGGGTTTTTGTTTTGTTTTGTTGTTTGTCTAAACTTACACAAAAGCATCACAATGGAGCGTCATATGGTTTAAACCTTTGCCTCAAGCCAGCATTGAGGAAGCCATGGAATGTGTCTCTCTGCTGCTTTTACAGTGGTTTCCCCACAAATACAGCCCTGTTGCTTAATCCCCAGGAGATTTGAAGCAGATGAGCACAAGGTTTTAATAGGATTCTTGATATGGCTCCTCTGGATCTTGCCAAACAAAACATGTTTTGTCCACTCACCACTGTGGCTATCATTTGTTTTAACCTCCAGCAGTTGCTGTTGTTTCTCTATAGGTAATCTACAACGTGATGCAGATAAACAAATTTTAATAGCACCTGGGCACAAAATGTCCTCAAAATTTGCTGTCATTGCAATATAGCTAAAAAGACACTCCCCACAGCAACCCATGATGCGTATGCAACCTCATCCCTTATATAACCAAGTTCCAACCACAGCTATGGAATGTGTATGTATGTATGTGTGTGTTGCTAGATTGGTTCCTATGGAGATTCTTAATTTCTAGGTTTAACATACTCTCTATCATACCAAAAGTTCTTTGTTTTGAAGAAATCAACTTTAATGACAATTTTAGCATATGCTTATTTTACAAAACAGAAACCATTAAATATTAACTTTTTGAACATAGAAATGTAGATTCATTAAAATGTTTCATCTTTGCATAATCTTGTAAAATTGAACCTACAGCTAGAAAAAACCCAAAAAGGCCTATATAGAAAGAAGGAAACAGTGACATCTATTACATATCTTAAGAGTTTTCTTTTTAATTAACCTAAATGCAATTCATGCCAAATTTTTAACATATCGCTTTGTAAATAATAGTTCAGCAAATTTTTATGAGTTCAGAGATTATAAAATTTTAGAGCGCATGTCATTGATTTAGAGTATTATTTGATGGAATATTGCTCAGTGAAATTATATTTAATGTCACTGTCTAGGTTGTTCAAGCAAGGGAATACTTGCACCAATGCTAACGAATACAAGACCTTCTATTAAAGAACGCATATCATTCCGTGACAATCCTGTTCAACTCAGTGGTGGATGGGGAAGTGGCAAAAAGAAGGCTAAAACCTCTACCTAATGCTTCCAGTTCAGCATCCCAAACACAAGGCCCATGATTCACGCTCATGTATATCTGGTCCTCTTATGAGTTGAAAACAAAGATTTAGAGTGGTGTATTTAATGTTTCATTACAATAATTCATAATTTTGTTTTGGGGGGCAGTTACCTACTTCTCATTCATTGCTAGAATTTGCAGTTCCTCTTGTGTTTTTGTGGAATGACCTCACACACAAATTCTTGAGACACTTCAGGGCAATTTGTATCTGCAGTGTCTCCTTTGGTTTATATTTTATTTATGACACATATCCTCAAGACTATTCTTTTAACTATTAATATAACATATAAAGAAATATAAATATATTGGTGTTGCTTAAAGAAATATTAGTGAATAATTACTACATTGATAAGTTTGAATGAACCACACTATACTTCTTAGGTATTTCAAAGATGAACTACATATAAAAATTCAAAATACACCCTGAAAAATCACAACTTTTATTTTTATTTTAAAGCATCTTAGAGGATTATGATATATATACATATATATACTTTTAAGTTAAAATGAAATACAAATTTAAATAATTATCAACCTGTTAATTTGGAAGTGTATCTGTAATGTTTCATTCCAGTATATTTTATCCTTGTTCAAAATAGGTTGGTGTGAATTGTGATTCTTTAAGATTATTCAATTCATTATTAATTGCCATTTAAATTTTTTTCAAAGCTGAAAACCATCATTTTAAAATGTTAGTATATTTTCTTAAATCACAGAAAGGACACATTAAGGTCTTACTAGAGTGAGGATAATTTTCTCCTATGATCTTAGCAAATACAGTATGCAAAATGCTGCATTCTGCTCAGGGCCCCACGGAGGATCTATTAATCTGCATCTGGAATGTCTTTCACGAAGCTAAAGCCAGGGTTCTCCAGTAACCCTCCTTATTGCACTCTGTGTAATAGGAGCCAGCGAGCTTCAGCTTGCCCTTTTGTTTTTCCTGCTCTCTAGTGAAATTATTCTTCCAGCGATGACTAACCAGATTTCAAGATGCATTTGTTTAGTTTTTATCCCCCCTGTACTTTTGGAGCCCTGTTGCATTTCAGACCTGTAAATCTCTTTCAACCTGATTGAGGTAGAAATGTTAACGAGCTTTGAGCTGTCAATCTATAAAGAAAACATGGATTCCTATGCTTCAGCCTAGAAATGGAGCTCCATATGTACTTGTTTTGTGAACACTGTTAGATCACCCCTTTGCTAACAACATTCACGAATCAGTATAATGCAATGATGGAAAATATTTTATCTCAGCTTATTGTCAACTCTGCAGGAGAAAACCACATTAGAGCTGACATTGATAGGGTTTTATGGTTCATATACCTGCTCAATGAAGTGGAAAGACTAGTATGAGAAATGAGATGTTTATTATTAAACTGGTTTAGTATGTAAAAGAAACTTATTAGTTTTTTTCTTATGTAACTTTTGTGATTTTTTTCATTATATTAATTGGGAAAATTATTGCATTGATATTCTTAAATTTGTAGGCAATGTTGATAAATGTGAATAAAATTGCTCCTGAATCATGGTGTTTAAATTGGAAGTTCTTTATAGTGTGATTTATGTGGGCCTACCCTGAAATTGATTATCTAAAGAACCTTATAATTTCAAACCTGTCATTTTGGAGTACTAGTTATAGATTTGTGTTTATACAATTGATATTTTTAAAATTTAATAAAACATGCAAGTATTTCAACACAGAATTGTTTCCTTTTGTTTTCTTAGGAGACACTGGTAAAAATTCATTTATTTATTTGTTTTTTTTGTCTAGTGTGTATGTGCGTGTGTCTGTGAGTCTGTGTGTATGTGTGTGTGTGTGTGTGTGTGTGTGTGTGTGTGTGTGTGTGTGTTTGGTGTGTAGAGAGACTGGGGTGGAGGACACTCATGCCAAGGCACACCTGTGGAACTCAGAGAACTACTCCCAGGAGTCAGTTCTCTCCTGCCACCTTGTGGGATCCAAGATGGAACTCAAGTTGCCAGAGCTGAGCATAAGTGCCTTGACGTGCCCAGCCACCTTGCTAAGGCAAATATTTTTAACAAATAGGCTTCAGGATAAAAAAATATGAAAGCCTGATTTGTCATGCAGTTGACTACGAACTTCACACTGACAATAATGGGCTTAGTCATTGGTGCTATTCAAGCACATTACTCTTAACTGACTGTCTTTCCTGGATGCTTTGTCTTTCTTTTAACACCTTCCAAATTACTTCCTCCCCTTCTTTCTGTCTCCCACTTCCAGGGCAGAAGACTCATAAGCTTTGTAGTTCTGTTTGGTTTGGTTGTTTTCTAACAATGGCAAACTGAATCACCATACACAAAAGGCCTGCTAGAAGTCTTAGGAGGCTTATTTAGAAAGTCTAGAATGTTTGGATATAAGAGTTAATACGCTGGCTTATAACTTGGGTCCCTTCTCAGGCTGTAGTCCAACACCACCACCTTTATGAACACTGGATCTGCTGCAGCCTGTTGCAAAACAATCTACTTCATTCCGAGCTGTACATCCCATTTCCTCACTGTCTTCATGAATGAGTCGTGCCTGCAAATCCTAAAGAGTATAAGATCCACACAAGCTGTGTGTGATACCTCCTGCCAACCTCTCCTCCCCCACCCCACCCCCACATATGCACAATCCACTATTCATAGGAGCCAATATTTTTCCTAAACCAAAACATACAAGGAAGCTTGTTTGATTTCCTTAGAACCCATACCCTTGTCAGCAATTTAGGACAAAGAACAAATAAGTTTGAAGAGTTTTCTGATAGATGCCCAACAGACCTGTTGGGTGAAATCATGAGGTCTCCTTAACACTCAGTGAGGAAGTTGTCAGGAGGAAGTAAGGAATAGTGGGATGCTTGTTCAGATCTGCTATCTTGCCATGTCTTTCCTATAGACTAAATACTAGCCAACATGCTATCATACGATCCTTTTATGCAGCCTCATATTTTGTTAGCCAGGCTCTTGCTATGTAGCCCTACCTGGTCTGGTAGTCACTAAGTAGTCCAATTTGTCTTTCAACTCATGGCAACCAACAAGCCTCAGCCTGCAGAGAATTGTCAGCTATTTTTGTCACCTTGCCCAGTTTTTCTATAAAACTGAGAAAAAAATGAACCATTTTAGCTAATGAAATAGAAGTTCCTTTTCTTCTTCCTGGCTCATGTTTACAATTGCTCAGGGACTGCCATCTGCATCGGGTTTGCCACATGGTAGGTGCCTTCATAGCACATTATATTTGAAAGCCAAGGTTTAGGTACACTGCGAATCCGTCAGGAATTTACAAAAACATGGCGCATGCTAGATGTCACCAAGTGAGTTAATGGAACGTTTCATTCATAGTAAATACACCCCTGGAATCAATGAAAAGACGTGTTTGCTATCATGTCTGTTCTAGAGACTTTCAGAATTATTTTAGCATCCTAATAGAACTACTCTAGTCCACCACTGGGAAATACAAATGCAGTGTGAGATACATATATGACTTTGAAATTTCTGGCAGCCTCAGTAAACATGAAAAAATAGGCAGTATACTTTTTATATTTTTTAGCCCTTTATATGTAGGTCTTTCCTCGGTGTTCACAGGGAATAGTTTTAAGTCTCCATATTAATAATGAATATGTTCTAGTCTCTTAGCTCTTTGTATATGCAGGATCAACATATGTGGGTAAGGCCGGCAGAGGGGAACTCATCTTACAGTGAAAAACTTAAAATTACAAGATAATAAAATGTATGGATTAAAAGAAATTTTAGATTTATAAATGCATAATTATTAATAAATAAGTCACCAAGCATATTTCAATTCAAATATATAAAGACCAAATTTATTATTTCAAACTTTGATGTGGATTTGGGGTTTTTCTTGAAAGTTATTGGATGCTAGACTTCTCTACCAAGTTTTATGTAGCAACAGAAAATTACAAGGAGACATGGTAAGTCTGGATCTGTTTCTCATCTCTCTCCATCACTCAGATTTGGTCTAACCATAGATTTTCTATGAACTTCAAAATGAAACCAATGTTTAGAATAACTCAATATGATACATAGAACAAAGTAAGAAATCGGCCAAGCTATTTTACCCAGCTAAGTACATATTTTTGTATGAAGCATATGGAGGAAAGTGAAAAGAACATGTTTCATATAAACTGACTGACCCATGTTATACTCATCACTTTGATGAGTCATCTTGAACAAGTGGCAAACTTCAGAGACTCTTTCCTTACCAGTATATTAACAATGTAATATGGAGCTAAAGGATTCTACAAGGTCAAGTAACAAAGTATATGAGAAGCTCCAAGCTTAGGATCTTGGTTGTATGTTGTCTGTCTGTCTGTCTGTCTGTCTGTCTGTCTCTCTCTCTCTCTCTATCTATATATATATAGATAGATAGATTTGTTTATCATCTGTTTGCTGTCTGTATTTCTGTATGGGTCACATGTGCCATGCTCTAAGGAGTCAGTTTTCTCCTTCTAATACGTAGGACTGGGACCAGACTCAGGTCTTTGGACTAAGCAACAGAGGTCTTCCCCATTGAGCCATCTTGCTTTTCCCAGAATTATAGATTCTTATTAGAATGTAAGCCAGTGTTTTTTCAAAGTGGCAAATAAAATTATTTTTGTAGGAAATAAGACTGTCAGCCCCTTACCTCTGAACGCAATATTTTATACTACAAAAAAAAAAACAATGAAATGTTTCTATCACCAGAATCCCAAAGAGTATGTCATATAATTGCCTAGAATCTTCATATTCTTTTTATTCCTTCATTTTCACATGAAAATAATATTGATTCATCTCTAGGCACATGATGCAAACATTATTAATCTTTACTCAGTGCTTAAGTTTTTAGTTATATTTTGTATTAAGAGAAAACTTTTCATATAAACTTTTTAGTATCAATCTGTACTTAATAATAAATATTCTAAGGAATTTTATTTTATTATGTAAAATTACCTAAAACTGGAAACAAGAATTAGTTTCAAGTGAGGATTGTCAAGGAAAAGGCATATTCTATTTGATTTTGAAAAATGAGTTGATGAGGTCAAATCATTTTAGGCATGGGGATATGACCAAAATAAATACCTGAAGACCAATGCATTTGGCACATGCCAAGAATGGAAAGCAAAGCAAACAAGGGAATTGATTACTGGGTTGAAGTGAGGAAGCCTGGTCAGAAATGGCAGGGAGTTGGTGGAGAGATGTGACTAACAAGGAGGATGACAAAGTGCGTGGAGAGCCATACAGCTTTCCATCCCGTTATGGTGTGGCCATTTGTGTTTTGAGATTGCTTTTGAAAACAAAAACACAATAATATTCCCAGGCAGCAATATTATTAGTAGTAATTATTGGGATATTTTAGAGATAAGCAGATATTAAGAAATATTATTAGTGTAATTAATATTACATGTGTAGGGATACATACACCAAAGTCCCTACTTAAAGTGTGGGATGGTTACTTTACCTGTCCTTAGAAGACAAAATCCCAATATCTATCCAGAACTGTATTAGCTTTTGAGAATCTAATGAGAATTGATCTTGGTATATGCTGATACTTAGATCTGAATGAAGCTCCTTGAAGTACAGACTTCGGGAGAACCCTTGTGAAGTTCTTGAAGTGATAGTCACAGAGATGGAGGATTCTGGTTCCAGGATCTCTGCCTCATGTACCATTCCCCTAACTCCTCCCAACACCCTGTGCTTTCTCTAATCCAAGGATGCCTGGAGAAAGGCTAGAGTTTCTAACAGTATTTGTAAACATTGGAAAGACTGAAGGCTTGAAACAATGGACTTTGACTTCTTATAGCTCTGGAAGTTAGAGTTCTGAGAATCATGGTGCTAGTGCTACTCGACTCTTGATTATTGTTTAAAGAAAGCCATTTTCTTTTTGTGTGCTACAGGATTTTCCCAATCACTCATCTCCATTTAAGGGTAGTGATCTCATCATGAGATCCCATTTCTTGACCTAATCTCACTGTGATTTCCTCTAAAGATTCCACCTCCAAAAGCTGCCTGTGTATGAACCTCCTCCAAAACATAAATTTGGGGAGAGAGGGGAGACACCTTCTACAGACAAACTTCATAAATCCATCCAGTTTTCCCAAAAATTTTCAATAAAATACTTTCCAACAGTTTTACAATGATAGCTTGTGGTAGAAGCTGAGTCCTTGAATGGTAACTGCATTTGTTTGAAGTTGTAGAGACACTTGACAACAAAACTAAGAGGCGAACCCTAGTTCCTTGTGTAACAAAGGCCTTGTAAAATGTATGTTACAGACAATACCCATGTTAACATACTAATTGAATACTAAGTGGAGGTACACTTAGTCGTACACATACTTCAGAATCTGACAGCATGATGGATACACATACCTCAGGAGATAACAGTTTTACAAGATTTGTTTTCTATGTGTGTTTTTTGATCCTTTCCATCTCAACTAATCAAAATGATATATTTTATTCTTAATGGTTGAATTCTGTTGTTTTTTAGTGTCCCTTTTCATCTTATAGCACCATTAATTTATTTCCCAATGATCCATAGTCACTGAGTGATTTTCCATCCTTACTTTTTAAAATGACATTTTAAAGTAATTATGAACAAGCACTGTCTACATGGCTAAGTATATTAGCTGCTTTCATATTCACTTCCTACTGTGTGATGGAAATTGCTTACATTTTACATTCAATGATGCAGAATCAGAGTAGTTGCATCCTG